GATTTTCCGAGAAGTAGTTGGTCTGGAACGGGGTCCACTCAGCCTCGTGAGGGGGAGCTACTTAAAGGAAATAGCGGCTCCGATCTAGAAAACCGAGCTTAACTGCCGTGGAGATCCGTTGCTCTGACCACGCGACACCCTCTACCCGCTAAAGTTTGCACCAACTTCGCCGACAAGCGGTCGGTGTAGTTCAATAGCGGGCTACAAGCAACGGAGTTAGTTTGTTTTTATTATCTTTAGGGATTTGACGCTGTTCTGTCTGCTAGAAGATTAAGAAGGTTTCGAATTAAGATCCTGTTTCTATCTTCAGAAGCAAAAATGTTGCTACTTGCTGTTTGAATTTTCTCTTCACTTGTAGGCAGTTCGTTCATTCTAAACAAAGGTAAATTTATACCAGACTACACGGCATTACATAGTCCCCGCCATGAGAACCTCAAATTTGTAACATTTTATATTTTGAGGGTTGAATTTCTTCTAAATAATATATAAAAGTCCAATTCTTACCCAATAGGGAACATATGTCAGCTACAGGCGTCATTCGTTAATAATATTTGAGGAAAAAATTTAGTTTATTGCGAAAACTATGAGAAACACATAAATGTAGTCTGTAACGAGAATGCAGGGCGTGCAGGTGGCACACTGGGATTTAATTAGTTAAGAAACAGTTTGAATTTGAATAATTTAGTCTAATTTCGCTTAAATAATTAAGAATCCTCAGAACACATAAACTTGTATTGAAATATGATGCGTGTTCCTGCAGCCAACGTTTGTAGGCCATGTAGTTAATATGACAAGAAAAGGCAATACTGAAACGCACATTCCATCAGTTTCCGAAGATCTAACAAGTATCTGAATACTATATTACGTAAATGAATTGAATACGTAAGTGTCCCTAACGAACAAGACAACTCTCTGTTTCGTTAAAGTAACCTGATAAATTCCGATTAATATATCGTGCGCGGATTACAAATCATAATATTTGTATTAAAAATATAATAACATTTTGTTTTTATATTCCAAGTAGAGATTAAGATTTCATGTGCTTATAGAAGTACTTCGCCTTTTATTACATGCTTCGTTTTGTGTATCACTGCGCCATGATGACGTATGAGACAACAGTTCTCTAATGTACTATCTTAAGCAGTTAGGCCGCGCCATAGCTCAAGCGGTTAGTCGCTGGCTTCCCACCGCGGCAGCCCGGGTTCGATCCCGGGTCTGGTCCCGGGTTTTCTCCGAGTATTTCGGTTTCTCCTGCCAATCTTCATTCCGCCAAATTCTCCATCATTATAATCACCCGGGGCAGGTACAATAGGCCAATCAGTTGCCGCCGTGCCGAGTGGACCCAGCTGGACTCCACCCTCCACTAAGCGAATTAATCTTAAGCAGTTGGAACAGCAGTAGTAATACCATAAAATTGCTTAGCTGTGATTTTGTCATGAGAAAGATACGAACAATTCTACTTAGAAATTAAAATAATACTTGCATATGAGGAACTGCACAAATATTAATATAAACAGAGGAACAGAGAATGGTCGTTGTTCCCTAGACTTGAAGGCAGAATCTACCCAAACGAACATCACAGTTTTCATGAATATCAACAATACCCTCATTGACGCAATCCACTAAGAATATATATAACCTAAATGTACAAATTGAGACACCAATACAACACTTTCAAAGTCCCCCGCCCAGTGCTACACATACATCATGGGTCATAGGCAAATCATCACTGCACATGTAATCTTTCACACCCACAATGCTAGTAGGCACTACTACATGACTACATGGGTAAAGACAGAAAGTAGGAGATTATGGATAAATGAAGGAAGAAGAGACAAAACAGCGAATGAAGAGGAATGGAAGACAAATAGAAGGAAGGGAGGGAAACATATTGAAAAGAAATAGAAGAAAAAGTAGACTTAAAAAGGAGAGAAAGAAGAAGATAGAAGATGAAGGAGAATTAAGATAGGGAACCTGAAGAATACGTGAGAATGATAGAAACATATGAGGAGAAAAATAATACGAAAGAGATGAGATATATGACAAGAAGTTGGAAGTGAAGAAAAGTGGAAGGAAAGAATAGAGGAAATGAGGAAAGTGGTTAAGAAAACAAAAGAAGGTGAACTAAGAAGATAAAACAAAATCGCTGTTGTTTCGTGCTGTCTCTGTATATGATGATTTGTGTCTGAAAGGGTTACAAGGCGTTTAAGGAAATCGGCTTAGTTTGTGAATGGTACAGAACTAATTTCTTAGACGTAAAGAAATATGTAGGCTTCTTAGAATATTGCTAGCGGTAGGGCGAACTGTGTAGTTCAGAACAAATCTACGGATTTATTTAACATGTAGAGTTATATAGGTAAATGCATCATTCATTCACATGCATCTATATATGCAATGCACACACACTTAGAGAGTTTCTTAGTAACCTACTTGTACAGTGACATACACAATAAAGTCTCCAACACGCGCCATTAATATTTATAATATTATTACAACTAAGACATTTATTATTGTCTCCACAGCCTTTGAGAATAGTATCTCATGATAGACCTTTGAATTAAAAAAATGAATTCTCTTATAACCAGCCTTCGTTTATCTTTAATAATATTAATATATATAACATAATATATTAGTAATATTATTTTTAGTTCAAAATATAATATATATGTACATTCGATATAATATAAAATATTATCAGCTTAAAAATTCTTGATATTTTATTTCTAAAGAAAAATGGAAACATTTTCTAATGATACGTTAACATTTCTCATATCGCGGGAATTTTATATCTTTCAGCTTCACAAAGAAACAACAGGATAATCCCCAAACTGAAGAATTAAGAATTTTACCGGGTAAATTTTCGATCTGGATATTGTAACGAAACAGTTGCAAGGGTTTAATTAAATGTCTCACGACACGCGAACCGTGAAGAGATAGGGCCGAAGTCAGCAGATAAGGTGAAGGTAAAAATGCTGCTATGCCTAATAAAGCATCTTGCTATGAATGCGAGTGGAGTCGTGGAAGTATAAATCCACGCATTCTTAAATTCTGCGCAAAATATAGGTGGTAGGTCAGCTTCAAGCACAGTCTGCCTTTCTTCCAGGGAAAAAGTCCCCAGTACCCACTGAACAGGAGGCTGTTTAGGCCCCACAGCCCATCTGGATTCAGTGGTAGGAAGTCTGTTATCACTGCCGCGAATCGAACCCACAATTCCTGGATTTTCCGGTCTGTAGCCTAGTAGCTATATCAACTGGATAGCCGGACTGCACGATTGCCAGTAATAATTTAATTAAATTCTTATTTATTGACGTGCAAACTTGTAACAACCGAGAGACCAATTACAAAGCTAGGACGATAAGAAAAACAAAACAACAAACACAAAGAAAATACTAAATATTGCAGTTTATATAGTAATAATAATTTAATTAAAAATTAATAATAATTAAATTAATGACAATTAGTAAATAACTAATTATTCGATTTTTAATTATTAGTATTATTATTTTTATCAAAAGCAATAATAACGCAGCAAAAATGGAGTAATTTTACAAGAATTAAAATTATAGAAAATGTTTCCTGCATTAAAATCGCTTGCTCTTCTAGATTCATGCAACAACACGTGGCAGCTTCTTCGTGTGTTTTGGGGATGAGCTGTATCGGAGGTGCCTACTGTCTATGTTTACTTCGTGAATATAACAAAAGTTTTAGCGCATTATTGACAGAGGTCCGAATGGCCAATATAACTCTAAGAAAGTAATGATTAACTACGAATTTCGTAGATATGTAGCACTCTTTTCTAAGCAGATAATTTTTATATAGATTTCTATCTCTATAGTCGCCATATTTATAAATATATAATGTATTACATTCTCTGGGACACGGTTATGAATCTCAAGGAAGAATTTAAACTTTGTTTTGAACCGTGAAAGTACTTCAGTGGTTCTGACTACAAATTCTACTTTGGACATGGGCAATGATACACAACGTATATTCAAATCATGTTTTAAATTGTGCTGTTCTATTCACTGAAATTATGTACGTAAATATTTAGTATAACCTGTAGATTATAAATGATAAATAATATTTTATATATTCTTCTGACTGATAATCAGGTAACAAGGATAGTTAATACAGTTATTCTCTTCTTGTTTTACATGTAAGTAAGTTCGAATTCATGTTTATTTAATTATTCACAAAGTTGAATATGTTCTATTTTTTACAATTTTGATCAAAATTTTATTATAATGTATTTATTTTATTATAAATTATAGGCCTATATAAATAAAGTAAGGCAAGCCCAAAGTTTCTCATTAAAAATGAGATATAATTAAATTTTTGGGACATCCCTATCGTCACCTTATAAAAATTACAAATATTTATGGGCTCCAAATAGCTTCGAGTAATTCGCCATATCATTGAGTGTATTTTGTTTGCGATTTTCAAACTGAGTAATAATTAATGCCTCATAAGGCAGAAAGCAATCGAGTGGACTCTACTGATATTTCACTTAGCAAGTTTTCAGAAGTAATATATTGCCTGTATATATGTACCCATTCTGAAAGCGTAGGTGATACATTGCGGCCTAAGGAACCAACCTGAATTCATGCGTTCAATGTTGAGTCCAGTCTCTGAATTGTGCTAATATTATACAGAAAATTATTTTCTGGATATTTATGGTGGTTAACTAGTTCGTATACTGTCTGAACTTGTCTACCCAGAAAATCGATTTAATTTAAGACAAACATTCGGATGAAACAGCTTTAAATTCGACTTTCCTCCGGCAATATTATGTAACACATACCTTAATGATGGATGCCCCTGTGACTTCAAAATATGATGATGAGTTAAAGGATGAATTATTATAAATCCACGAGATATTTCTCGTGAATTGCTTCGTCCAGTAATTAATATCATGCTTATTTCTATATAAATAAATTTTATATAATACAACTAAAAATAACTATATACGAGTATATCGCTTCATCTGTAATAATTTTACACAAAGTTTGTATAATATGTATAAAATTTAGTAGAAGAGGGAAAATTAAATGCAAAAAAAAAAAACTTAATTTCATTATTCCTTGTACGGCTATCCCAATAATGGTACCTGCAGCACTATTGAGGCTATTGAACAATTACGAAAATGAGAATTGTAATGGCAGTTAAAATTTCAAAAGAAAGACTCATGGGATATAATTATAAGTAGGCCTATGCATTATGAAGAACCATCTTAAGAAACTGTGAAACATTTTGTACTTTGTTGGGAAATTTTGAGAAGAATTTAAACAAAAGAATAGCGATATCTTGTACATGAAAATTCTGTTTTCGTCTCCAACCCATCCATAACCTGTTAATTCCCACACTGACTCATCTTAACGTGATATCCTGCTATGAATCAGTACACGCATCTGCTAGCGTCTTCCATATTAAAGAACTCCGTTTTAGGTCTAAACGAAAATACGAGTATTAATAACAAATAACTGAAATGTTTAAGGTTATAGTCTAATTATTAGGGCATAATTTTGAATATATTTCCATTGTTAATATATTTAATATTATGAATTAACAATATAAGCCTATTCATATTAAACGTATTTCCACTAACTTACGCTTAGTTTCCCAGGAGGTAGAAAATAGGCCCGTAAATTCAAATATGATCACAATTATGGCTTGGTTCCCGGCGCCATTGAAAAGATTACGGTTCGAGAGCGCGCCATAAATTCTCTGTGGTAAACGTTACGTCATCAACAGTGCTGCAGTTATGCAACAAGAAATCTCGGTACTTAGAAACGAATTAATGTCACGCCCCATTTTTAGGATAATGTGACACTTTGTCAATATCTTATTATAACTACTATTGGACTTTTGATTGAACTTTACACTACAATTTTTCGTACCAGTTTTAAATATGTTTTCAGACAACGGCTATAGAGAAGGTTTTGGTTGGCTAGCTTGTTACCTCACTGCCATTATGATCACACGGTAACGATTTTCTTCCCTTCGTTCGTGATACTTTTTAGTTCCAGTACAGTCCGCATACAGCGCCATGTGTGAATTAACGCTATAAATCCATGGCGCCGAGTTTCTCTTTGTTTTAAAGAACACGAAGTAAACATTAACTTCTTGAACGAACATTATTAATTAATAAAAGTGAAGTAACATCTATTTGTTAATTGAGGATTGTTTTATATCGCGGTAGGGTAGGTTGGAAACTATTCAGCAGTGAAACAAACCTAGAGACACTATTTGATAAATGATTACTCATTCATTACTTTTACAACATAAGTTATATATATATATATACACAACAAAATATCTCTGTGTTCCTTTACAACGTTCTGAGCGATAAATTTTTAAATATCATTTTCAAGATGAAACAATAAATAATTCACACTCTAGTGAATAACATTACTATTACATTACATATTTCTTTTCCTTTGTTGATTATTACTTCCACTATATACATTGTACTCAGCAGACGAAGAGTTAAAGAAAACTGCAATGAAACGTATCACGAACGAAAGGATGAAAAAATATTTACATGACAAAGAATCATTACATGTAATTCGTCGGATTATAATCACTACCACATATTGACTACAGTATTAATCGATTATTCCATCTCGATGAATCGAATAACTACACTCCGCTACACTCACTCAGTACGCACCATCATCCACTGCGCCATATTTGTAGTAGGCGTCTTTTGTTTCAGGTTGAACTGCTTCTATATGATTTATAAACGGGTTCATAGGTTGCTGTTCTGCATGGTTTATGAAGGGATTGGTTGATGGGTACACCGGAGGTTGTTGTTCGGCTACTGAGGTTTGTTCAACCGATCCATAGGAGGGCGCGTGGCTGTTTAGCTGTGTTTGTTGCCCCTGACCTCCTTCCTGTAATGGAAACAACATGAATCATTCAAATGTGAACAAATTTTGGTGCCAGTTTTTCACCACGTAAACCATATAATGAGCACTCATTTTGGAAATATTATTTTTTCCCCCTTGGCACTACAGCCCCAGGGGGCGGTTGAACTTCTCCGTTCACTTCGGTTTTTCTAGATCTTACACATTCGGTAGGACTCCTTGGGCGGGTGATCAGCTCGTCGCAAGGCCTCTACCTGTACATAGACACAGAAAAACGCACACACACAAACTAAACATCCATGGCCTGAGTGGGATTCGAACCCACGATCCCGATTTCTAAGCGAGCGAAGACAGTACATGCCTTAGACAGCTCGGCTACCGTGACCGGCGGAAATATTATTAGTAAGCACAATTTAGTGGCTAAAATTAGTCAAGAAAAATAACTGAACAAACAACCCTCAGGCAACATAATCCGCAGGATCAGCACAGCTACAATACATTAAGACAAAGCTGAGAGTGGCTTATCAACATATAAAATGTATATCATTACATCATTGGTAAAGCTGTCCTTGTAGCAGGCTCTGGAGGCCCATAGGGCTGTGAGACGTCGAGGCTCCCACATTTTCTAGACAATCGGCTCACAGATGGCGGTAAGGTTGTCAGCCTTACGCACCGCCCCTCTTTACCCCCAGGAAGATTCCTGGTACTCATTTCTGTTAGAGGCTGAGTCAACCTCAGGGCCATAGTGCTGCTGGAATGATTAGGTCAATTGAAAAATCCAGTGACCTCTTCGAGAATCGAACCCAGGGCCTTTCGACTTGTAGCATAGTGCCTAAACTAAACACGCTACCGCGTGGCCCTTACGTCATCATTAGAGAGTTAGTAAATTATATTTTAAACTCTACATCTGACATCTCTTTGAGCACACCAAATTCTTTTCTCGTGTACGGTTATGTACGTATGTATGTTGTACTCAAAAATATTTTTGACAGAGTGTGGTATCAAGTCTACCACTGGGGACGATCGTGGTCTATTTGGATCCGGTTTTTTCCTACATTCATTATTCTTGTTTCAAACACTGTATCCTTGTTTTCTGTATTACACTGAATGTGGAGAGAATATATGGAATTCTGAGACACAGTTTCCTTTTATCCATTCATTTATATGCATTTCTTAAAGCGTGTCCACATTACTCGTGCTCGTGCTCCCCAGGCTTGTGCTCATCGGGAGACTCGTCTGGCTTTTACTTGTGCTCGTAAATCTTCGTCCACACTACTTCAGTTGCTCGCCAGGCTTCGGCGCGTGAGGATCCGTATATTTACTCGTAGTGTGTATAGGCTGTAGTCGTATTTTAATTTATAGGCTATAGTTTTTAAATTCATAATAAAAAATTTGCTTGTCTCGTGACTTGTCATATCGTCCACATTACTCGCGAGCATAGCGAGTCACACGAGCACGCGTAATGTGGACCCTCCTTTATACTCCCCCATAACAAGATGGAGACTGCATCCAGAAGGAATGTACTTTCTGGATATCGTTTCGATCAGTTCTGCAGGAAACATGGCGATTCAGAAGCGCGATGTACAGCCAAAATAATGAAGTTTTGTGAGTTACGAAAGAATAAATTAAATAATGAACAATTCAGTTTTAAAAACTGTCCCCTACAAAATTAAGAGAAGAACAAAGTAAGAAAATCAAATTTTTTATTATTAGGTTATTTAAAACGGACATCGCTTGAGGGGGGAAGACGGCGTTATGCGACAGGTTCGTTGGTTTTATATTTATTTAATTATTTATTATTATTGTTCTTGCAGCTCAAGGATTTGCTTCTACGAGCATGTTTCAATATTCAGAAGAACAAATTAATTTCTTTATTTACTTGCATTTTTATTTGAAGACGCTTATAATAGTTCAAATTTCGTAGCGTAAAGATTTGAAGCTGCTTAAATGCATCGTCATTTAATCATAAGTTGAATAATGAATACTAAATTATACACGATGTGGAATCAACCGGCTGGATCCTAATTTTAGGAACTGTCCAAATATTTGCCTCTAGGAACTAAAGAGAATCACCCGATTCAGGACGTTTCATCCCCAGGCTGAGGTCTCAGCCTTTTCATACCTAGTAAAGAAGCAAGATTGCAATGTCTGGCCAGTAAATTGGAAGGATTTTGAAGGGGGCAATATTATTTTATTTCAAGGTAATAGCGGCTCCGGTCTAGAAAACCGAAATTAACGGCCGTGGGGATTCATTGCACTGACCACGCGACACCCTCTATCCGCTAAACCTGGCACTAACTTCTCCGACAAGCGGCGGTCACTCGGTCGGTATAGTTCGCTTGCGGACTAAAGCCACGGAGTTTGTTATTTTTTTTTTGTTTGATGATCATAACTGCGATGTAGTATTTATTTTCATGGCTTACGGAACTGTTTCCTGCTCTAACGGATCGAGCATAACGACCACAATTAAAATGATCAACAACTTGGCCTTGCTTGACACCTACCGAAGGCTTTGGCGGTTCTGCTTGGAAAGAGTCTTCAAGTGGATTCCAGACTTTCTTCTTTTCCTCGGTAGCTGGCTCTGCCCAAGGTTGAAGTTCACCTGAAGCGAACACTCCATAGAACGTCACACCGATGAAGTGTACAGTGGCGGCCATGATAAAGACTGTCTTCCAGCTCTCTGGGGTCTGTTAATTAAACAGATTTACATTGCATGAATCTACAGCCATATTGGATATAAATGAGTGTTGCATAAACTCTAACCATAGACCATTTATTTTGTGAGCAGCCAGATGACTTGTCAGTGATGGGTGTAAAAATTTGGTGGAAAGAACTGAATATACATTCTTCACAAGATTGGCCTCGACTACATCACTTTGGAAACAAAGTCGATTTTTGTTTGGTAGATAATTGTTGGCATCTGCGCATATAAGCGTTACCTAACACACATAGTTAAATTATTTCATATAGGCCTTAGCGATTACAGCATTCTACTGCTCTGAAATTAATATTTTGTTAATAAATTTGTACAATTTAAAAATACAAACACTTCCAGCCATAAACAGGAAACATTTATTTATCAATCATTGGGTCCTTTTGCCCACAAAAAAAAAGACGCTCAAAAGAACGCTGCTCTTCGATATTATACCCCTCAAGCACGGTCGCCATTTTGACTACTAAAATCAGCCTCTGAACATGCGCATGCGAGTCTGCTACGTACTCTTGTCATGGAACTGGACCGTGTTGCTACCTAGTGATATACATAGAAAACCTATTACGTCCATTACAGCTGTTTTACTTCCACTAACCTACGACAGACAAAGGCTTTACTTCATGTAACTCCTCTGGTTCATATTGTTCTCAAATTTCTGATCAAAATACATATCGAAGGTTATTTAACGACGCTGTATCAGCTATATATTAATTCGCTTCGAATTCTATGCAATTGGTTGATAGGAAGCGGTTGTGGTCTATTTAAAGACATAATCTCGTCATTTACATGGAAGCAATTAGATACGAAAAATATCAAGATAGCCGATGTCCCGACCGAGATTCGAACTGGAAATAATCCCAAATACGGGTATAAGTCAGAAGCATTAACTTTTAAGTAAAATTTATCGTTTCCCTAATGGATAGGCAAGTTGCATCACAAATGGTTGACATAATTTGGATATGTAAAATGAAGACATAAAGATTTGATCAAAATACATAGATATAATTTTATGTAGGATAACTTTATTCTTAAATATATCTTGGTATTCCATCTTTGTACTGTTATTACATTATTCACGCGCTGCTGGTTTATTGGTGTGTGTTTCTTCTCTCGCCTTCCGAGGGCGCGGCAATCGTACGGTTCGGAAATGTGAACAATGCCCATCACATCAAGAGGCAGACAAGCGGAACAGAATTGGGGGGCTTCGTTTAGAATGAGAAACTACTTTGATAATTGCAGTGCAAGAGTGAACTAAAACAGCTGCTCCGTTTAAAAAATGAACCTCATGATTCAGTACATTTTTTCCTAATTTAAGGGAGAAATTTAGGCTCTATATTTCGAATTTAATTTTGGTGTCGTTGCTGGAAAATATGTATCCGAGGAAAGCTGATTAAAAGTGGTTTTAAGTCGTAAAATACTAAATTATTTCAACCTAAAAAATTTGCTGATCCTCGCCAGCACAGCGATTCTTGGTTCCGAGTCCCGCTGGGCCCATGGCCATATTTTACTTTTCTGGCGACTCTTGGAGCCTTCAGAGTTTTCAAGACAGTATTTCTTCTAAATCATATTGTAACGGATTTGATTAATTTGTTGCCAGACAACAGCTCTGTAAACACGGTCCAACATGCAACACTAGAGGAGCTGTGTTTTCCGTAGACCCGACCGACGCGCAAATATACTGGCTGGATAGCGATCACGTGATGTATTTACTGCAGGTGCGGCTATGTAAGAGTGACAGCATCCATTCAGAGCAGTTACGAGTCAGTAACAGAAGCAGAAGCACCCATACAAGAGGATAGTAGTAAGCTGGAGGGGTACAGAGGAGTACAAGGAGTCGGCCTGTGAAGATTTAACGTGTGATTTGAAGACTTTATGTGTGCTACAGTGCTGTAGCATTGGGAGTGTGTCATTTAGGGACCGATTGTCTTGACTGAAGTTCTTCGTGGTTCTTCTTACACTCTCATAGAAGTTTCCGGGATGATAACTCAAATTATGCCACAACAGTTTCCTTCCAAATCGTTAATTTACCATTTTTCTACCATTCCACGGTACATAAACTTAGCTAAGGACAGCGTCGTTAAATAAGCAATAAATAAATAAATAAATAAATAAATAAATAAATACATTAGCTATAAAACCTTTAGTATACGCATGGGTATGAAATTATGGTATTCCCCAAGCATGCGGGTATACTTCGCTTTACTCACGTTGTCTTCTGTGATGTTATCAATTGCTATGGGGCAGATGAGACCTGCTATGGTTCCAATCCCATTAGACATGCCCATTAATATGCTAGCGTAGCGAGGTGCTATGTCCAAGTGGTTTACATTGAAACCTGTTTCATGAAACATTTAAATCAAAATTTTATTAGAGATTTTCGTGTAAATATTTCGTCTATAACATTTTTTCTCGTAAATATCCTTGTTATAAAGCTCACAAAATTTATTTTCTACTTGGGTTGTAATATCGTGTAATTTGTAGAGACCACGACGTTTCGGAGGAACATATTGCTTCTGTCTTCAGGTTAGAAAAGTGAGCCAAGTAATACACCAACAGATGTCAAGGGCAAAGCTAATCGAAACGTGAATGGAAATTTCGGCCAGTGATAGCATGAAATTAATAGGACACAGCCAACATAAGCTCGAAAATTATCTGTAAGGGAACGTTGAAGACGTAAAAAAATATTTTAGTTCTGAACTACACAACATTACAACTCATCAAATTGTATATACTCGTACTTGATAGTTACCAATTTCAGAACCTCAACTTAAATATATAAAACAAATTAATGACATGAAAAACGGGGTCTTTTCGGATATGGCGCCGTGTAGATATCGTGTTAACCGACGTTTCAGAGGAAAGTATTGCTTTCATCTTCAGGGTATAAGAAATCCGCGAGCGAGAAACCAGCGTTAGTAGGTGGCTGCAGACGTGAAGGTCGGGTTGACACAAGATCTACACGGCGCCACATCCCAGAAGGCGGCATTCTTCATAGTCACCGCCGTGAAAACCTCAAATCTTACATACTAATGACGAGTCTGTGGACATAACATCTCATATCAATCATTTGTTTTTCTTTGTGGACTCTGATACTATACCAGATATGGCGAAACCGCTGAAGGCGACGCCCATAGTCAAAGCGGCGGTGGCAGTTATCGCCGATCGTGCGTAAGCCACCACGAGGAAGAACAGCGCCTCCATGCCGAAACCACCGCAGTTAAACACTTTGCGTACGTTCGTGGTAGTGAGAATTCCCTTCTTACGTACGTGGTCCGCTAGCAGCCCTCCCAGGGGTACGATCACCGTCATCAGAAGGTGAGGAAGCGCTCCGACAAAGCCAGTCTGTGACATCAGCATGGGAAACTCATGAAATCTAAAAAAAAAAAAATTACAACTATTTCTTTATAAAGGGTTCTAACTGGGTATTTGGAATTTGTCCATCGTTCAGTATTCTAGTGAATGAGGTTTCTCCACTGGTTCTACAGCCCCCTCGGGCCCTGGCCTCTGATTTTCAGTTTGATGATTATTTTATAGACGGTAAGTCTCAATCTGCATACCAAGTTTTCAAAGGAGAACAAGGAATTGCTTATGTAGACTAGTCTATGACCAAAGGGGAGGGCCAGGGTTCGATTACACGACAGGTCATGTAAGGATCTGTGGTGACAAAGTGGCATTGGGGCAAGTAATTTCGGTTTCTCTTGCCAGTTCCATTCCACCAGTTGCTCCACACCTTCACCATTATTATCAGGGGTTGGTAAAATAAACCGAGTTATGACAGACGTAAACAAGTGGACTTAGTGAACAAATGAACCCACCTCTTCTATCTCGAAATTGAAAGTGGTGTGAAGATACTGGGCCTGGAAGAGGACCAGGAGGTAGAAGTTCCAGGAACGACAGAAGTTGGCAACTATGATGGCGTAGACAGGCATGGAGGTGAAGAAGGAACGCCATGGAGTGGTTGCTACTGTGGGCATAGCGACTTGCGCAGACTGTCCCAGGGACTGCTCTATGTACATCAGTTCTCTGGCGCTGATGGTCGGATGTTTCGATGGCCTCTCGAAGGATAACCACAGCCACAACATGTACCAGATGAGGCCCGCTACGCCTGGAACAACAAAACACATATCGTGTTGGACTGTCCTTGCTTCAAAACTATTGTCAAACTATGTAGGATTTGAGGTTCTCACAACAGTGGTTATGAAGATTTCTATTTTCTAAGATATATGACACCGTGTAGTCCGTTGAAAGCAAGCAATGTTTCGGATGAAGATGTCGCCTCAATTTTTAGGTTATAAGAATAAGCTAAGAACGAAAGCAAGAGGCAAGCAGAACTTGGAGCACATAAAATGCATGGAATTTCAACAAAACCGTTTTAACCTCAAGCTCAGTCGGTATAGCGACTGGCTACAGGGCTGGATGTCAGGGGTTCGGTTATCGGCAGGGACAAGATAATTTTTTCTTCTCCGCAGCATTCAGACCGTTCTCGAGCCCACTCAGCCTCCTACCCAATGTGCACCGCCGCTGGCTGCTACCTGGGAGTAAAGCGTAAACCTGACCTCTAACCTCTATCTAGTTCCGAAGTAAAGAACGGTGGAGATATACTGCCACTTCTCCCTGCGTCTTCGTGGAGTGATGTTTAATTAAGATGAGGGACAACTTTACATTCTCTTAGCCATTATGGTGAAGTACAGGAAGGGCCCTCGAAAGACGAAAATTAATTACTTAATTTGGAAAACTTAAGAATTTTTAGTGACTATGTACAGTGTAAGCCGGTCACGGTAGCGGAGCGGTCTAAGGCATGCACTGTCTTCGTTCGCTCGGAAGCCGGAATCGTGGGTTCGAATCCCACTTAGGGCATGGATGTTTGTGTGCGTTTTTCTGTGTTTGTGTACAGGTAGAGGCCTTGCGACGAGCTGATCACCCGCCTAAGGAGTCCTACCCTATGTCTAAGATCTAGTAACACCGAAGTGAAACGGAGAGTTTCATGGAGGTAGACCTAGGCCCAAATGAGGGCTGTAGCGCCAACGAAAAAAAAGTACAGTGTAAAGACTGATTACGAATAGTAAATGCAGATAAGATAATTTTAACGTGCATGAGCTGTTTTCATGGCGCTGAGCCAATATTTCTGAAAGGAATCAGGCAAAATGCAAGACATATCATTGTAGCATGTCTCTGGGTCTATGTTTCAGTACGAGAGATTGCCAAAGCGTAGCAGGTGAGCTGAGCGTTATCAACTGAATTCGAGGAAATCAGTCTAAAAGAATTTGACTCCATGATTTTAGGAACCGATTCGGGGCTTGGTTTATCCCGACAGTAACTATGAATTAGGGCCGCGCCGTAGCTCAAGCGGTTAGTCGCTGGCTTCCCAACGCGGCGGCCCGGGTTCGATTCCGGATCTGGTCAAGTGGGATTTGTGGTGGACAAAGTGGCGATGGGGCAGGTTTTCTCCGAGTACTTCTGTTTCCACTGCCAATCTTCATTCCACCAAATTCTTCATCATCATAATCACCTGGGGCCCATTCCATATGCCCCAATCAGTGGCCGCCGTGCCGAGTGGACCCAGTTGGACTCCAACCCCCACAAAGCGAACTATGAATTTCACTGTAGCTGATTTGTTCTAGGTTTGGTATAGCGTACAGATGTGGTCGACGTTGCAGTCCTTGAAGATGGGAAGATGAAGGCAGCATGTATTTCCGAAACGTCGTCAGAATCACCAACAATACAGAGAAGGCAACAGTCCCCATTTTATCTCCTCCTTTCCGCTAGGTGTTTTTCAAAACATAATTTTATATATACACAGAAATTCAGCGAACTACGCATTTCAACCGTGAAGATGGAGGCAGAATATACTTCCGAAACGTCGGCAATATTTTCCGCAATCCAGACAGGCAACAGTCCTCTCTATATCTCATTTTTTCACTCGCTTTCCAAAGTACAATACTATGTACACGCATTCACCAGCCTCTACGCTTTAACCCTGAAGGTGAAGACAGTATGTACCTCTGAAACGTCGATAACATTTCCACAATCTAGAAGGGGCACCAGTCCTCACTTTGTCTCCCCTTTTCCCGCTGCTTTTCAAAACACAACACTACATGTACAGAAACTCACCAAACTACATACTTCAACCCTGAAGATCGAGGTAACATGTACCTCCGAAACGTTAACCAAATCTCCCACATCCGTACCAAGAACAAAATCAACATCGATAATTAACCAAAGTGATAACCTCAAATCATTAACACGAATATTATTATGGTCCTGGTAGATATTTACCAATGTTTCGGAGGAATTTCCTGCCTCCATCTACAGAGTGGACATTCTTACACTTACCATAGAAGTAGAATGGCGCTTCCCAGCTTATTCCTCCCGTGAGGAGACCAGACAGGGGCATTCCCAGCACGACACCGGCGTAGGAACCACAGAAGGCGAGGGTGGCGAGACGGGACCTCTCCAAAGGGGGAGCCCAGAACCTCCAGATGCCGTGACAGGCTGGATACGTCACACCCTAAAGCATGCCCACACGTTATGTCACCAGTAAATAATAAAGCTTTCCCTGTAACCGGCCGTGGAGGCCCACAGGGATGTGAGACCTCGAGGCCCCCACATTTTCTAGAACTGGCTCACAGATGGCGGTAAATTTGTCAGCCTTACGTTTCGGCCGCCCTTTACCCCAGGAAGATTCCTGGTACTCATTTCTGTTAGAGGCTGAGTCGAGCCAGAGCGCGGCTGGAAGGATTAGATGAATTGAAGAATCCAAAGACATCATCGGGAATGGAACCCACGACCTTGTAGCATAGCTACCGCGTGCCTGGGAAGTTGGCTTGGTGAACAGGGTTCAATTCATGGCAGAGAATGAATCTTCTCTCCACTAAAATATTCCTATAGAGGAAACCTCGCATTGAAATACGAGTATCGCCCTAAGCTTAAAACATTACCCCGCTATATTAAACGTTCATATTATGAACGTGAAGATATTTTCTGTTACTTTACATATTCATCTCCAAGACCTGATAATTATGCACAAGTACCAAATAACTGGGTATTATCCTCCTTTCCACCACCAAGTCGACCGCCTCTCTGGTCTAGTGGTCAGAGTTCCTGGCTATAGATCCAGAGATCCCGGGTTCGATTCCCGGGCGCTACCAGATTTTCTTAGAAGTAGTGGGTCTGGAACAGGACCAACTCAGCCTCGGGAGGATAAATGAGGATCTATTTCAAGGAAACAGAGTCTCCGGTCCAGAAAACCGAAACTAATGACCGTGGGGATTCGTTGCACTGACCACGCGACACCCACTATCCGCTAAAGTTGGAACTAACTTCGAAGACAAGCGGCTCTCGCTCGCTCGGTATAGTTCGCTTATGGACTACAGGACACGGAGTTTTTGTTTTGTTTGAATTCCTTCGTTGACGTTTCAGCTGGCATGTATTGAAACACTGATAAACAAAGCAACTATATCCCGGGCGAAGAAAGGCACTTCTGTCTCTTTATATTATGTGTATTAACGTAATTTTTATTCAAATATACAATTCCACATTAGTAAGGAAATAAAAGGTATAGAAGTATAATATGGCACATAATCCCCTTGCTAGGCAACGACAGCGAAAAAACAACTATACAACAGCCTTTACTACGCAACGGCTCGTTAACAACAACAGAAGACTATAATTTCTGCTCGGTTCGTGGTGGGTGGCAAGCTAATCAGTCTGGAGACAGCCAGTCAAGAGTTGCTGCAGCTGAGGCATGGGAGCAGTTCTGGGCTCCAGAGAAAGGGGAATGTCCGCCATTCGAAGCCGTTACCAGGCAACAGGTGAAGCAGGCTGAGAACACTTTAGTGTGTGCTCTAGTAAACAATAAATTGTGTGAACTAGTGAAACGGTTATGGTTACTTGTAGTTACATTTTTTAGGCGTCCATTAAATCCAATTACCAATGCAAACCCCTTCTATAGTAACTTTTATTTCCTGACAATTTTAGCGAATAAATTAAGATGTTTCTTGGTTCCTCGCTCGTATCTGAGGAGTTTGTTAATCTTTGTTTATAGGCCACTGTTGCACGAACCTTCTGTTGTATATACAGCAATTATACACACAATTAATCATTCTGTCATGTATTAAAAGGAAAATGTAGGTCTAGCAATTTTGCTTTTTGTGTACTTCATTTGGGAGGCCATAATAGAGAATATTTTCTGGGTAATTACTTCAACAAGGTATAAAAAATCAAATGCGTTTCAAATATAAGCCTAGAGAACCGAGATTAACGGCCGTGAGAATCCGTTGCGATGACCACGCGACACCCTCTATCGCTAAAGTTGACACTAACTTCGCTGACAAGCGCCGGTCGCTCGGTCGGTATAGTTCGCTTGCGGACTAAAAGCCACGGAGGTTTTAGTTTTAGTTTCAAATATATCACCGAAATTTAGCATCAGCAACCTATTTTTGATTGATCTGGTTGGTCTAAATATCACTCGTACTCGGTCCCATTCGATTCTCGAATGGGACATCGACTGTAATGAATAAAGTTTCTTTCACTTTCTGAAGTCCCTCCATGTAAATCCTGGGACTGTACCTTAATTACGCCGTCAGCACTTCCTTCCACATCCTTTCCAATTCATTATTCACTGTCATTACCTTATTCAGTGCTATATTCTGAGTTACTTAGAGTGTCGCTAAATAAACTACACTTTCCCCACAATCAGTACACGGATTCGGAGTTCAATGCCCGGCAAGGGCAAGAGATTTTTCCTTCCTCCTCAAAGTCCAGACCAACTCTGGGGCCCACACACCCTCCTATAAAATTGATACTGAGAGTTGTTTCCTCCGGAGTAAGGTGGATGGGGCGTGAAGCTGACCACTAACCTCCAACTAATGACGAGGTCAAGAAAGCTGGAGCGATACCTCCCCTGCACTCGCATCTTTAAGGGGTAGTAAAATGTTTCCTGTAACAGGCCGTTGAGGCCCATAAATTCGTGAGACATCGAAGCTCCCACATTTGTTAGACAATTGACACACAGATGGCGGTGTCAGCCTTACACGCCGGCCGCTACACGGTGTTTCGTTAATTAAGCTCAGGGGTAACTTTACACTTTACCACCATCACCTAGCCAGGATAACTCAATAAGTGAAGAGCCTAGGGGCAGAATGACCAAGGATTCGGTTTCGATTCTTGAAAAGGGCAAGAGATTTTCATCTGGTACCCACTGACATCTTCAGTATGATGGGTACCGGGTTCCTCTCCCTGGCGGTAAAGAGGCTGGGACGTGTCCTCTCCCTGGCGGTAAAGAGGCTGGGACGTGAAACTGACCCCTCATCTTAATACAATGCCGAGGTTAAGAGTTCGTGGGCCTGTACCTCCCCTCCCCCACAGGCATTAAGGTTTGACAATTTACCTTTATCTTAACCCAACATGAGCCCCATACCACTCACCTCCACAAAACCCTGGCAGATCCTGACAATAATGACGAGGGTTGGGCTCAGCGTCGTTGCCCCAGGAACCAGTAAGTTCAGGAAGGAAGATATTGCAATGGCGGTTCCAAATATCCTGTAATAGAGAATTGTACAGCTTCTGCTCATGCTAAAATCCTGGCGAGACTGTACATGTAACTTTATTATTTCAATTAGGGTAAAGAGGTGGGAAGTGAGGCAGACAGGGCTTGTTATCACTCACAGAAAATATGAAGAAAGAATATAACATGTCAGCGAAACCTCCTGAAATACCACTAAAATTTGTCGGCGTTGTTGGGGGGATATTATTAAAGTGGTTGTGAAAAAGGACACTTCGTATCATAGCTCAGTAGGTTAGATTCCAGGAATTTACTGAGGAGATCCGGGTTTAATCCCAGGTAAATAAATACGAGATTTATTATAGATGTCGTAACGGCAAAGCACGTTTTACTACGAATTTCATCAACTATCCCATGCTAATTATCATTCCACCATTGCTCCATACTTATCTCACATCCGGCAGTACACTTTCTCATCCTTTGTCTTTACGTATAAGGCTTCAACTTTGGCACTCTATTTGGGTTACTGTAAAACATGAAAGTTAGTATATTGTAACGGATTTCTAGGCAACGGCTCGGTAAACACGTTCCAACGTGCTATAATGGAAGATGTGTCTCAGTGGACGAATGTTATAGCTCGTTGCTAGGCAACAGTCAGGGGGCCAATGAACTCGCTGGCTAGGAATCACTCTGTTGGGTCCCTGTTCCAGTGATTGTAGTTAGCTCTTTGTAAGGGACACAACAGATCACGTGTCTCCCCGCCACCTGAGGAAGTAAACAGATCCAATTTCCGAAACGTCGTGTTTTTTAGAATATTGGAAAGTGGAGGAAGTCCAAAAAACCCAGTAATTCTGAGTTTTATACACCATCGTCAGAACTCTTTAGACTTTACTTCCCGCACTCATTGATCAAGGAAACTTATCATAACTTCCCGATGCAATATTTGAGTGAATTATGAAAGGCTAATACACAGAGCCAGTTGAAATGAATTACATTTTCGGAGAATATACCTGTTGGCAGGATACATGGAGGCCAGAAATCCACCAGGAACTTGAGTAACAAGATATCCCCAGAAGAAAGATGAATCAACAGCACTCTCTACGCCAACTGTCCAGTTAAAGACACCTGTCTGAAACAGAAGAAAATATTTAAACTTTATTTGCCTTTAATTCAAACCCGCAAGTTTGTATGATGGCAGGTCATTATTGTCTATATCCCGTTTTTGTGTTTTATATAGTACTATTACAGAACCATTAACACGACAAATTCGTAACAAATAAACCAATATTACTGTATTGACATTAGTTTATTATGTTAATTTACTATATGTTTCTATCCAGCTGGATCAGCATCAGGCAATATTCATGAAAAGTACTACTAATATTAAATTATATTACTGATGTGGATCCATGTTGGTGATCATAAATATAAATTTCATTACGATTCTTGTGTTTCGTTATAACCGAATATTAGTCTTAAAAGGCAAAAAGTTATAAACCAGAAATTAAAAATTTAAATTATTTTTTTTGACGTTCTATAATGTTGCATTGTGGAGTAGAAGGATTTTCTGGGAGTCTGCCTTGTTTTTTTAATTATTATGTGCACAAACATGACCACAGAATGGGAATATCCGCTATCTAATAGCAAGAAGATATGGTACGCTATACAGAACACAACACAACACACACAATAACTTTAACATCGCACCCTATACAGAACACAACACAACGAATACTACAATTTTAACACCGCACCCTATTCAGAACACAACACAACATAAACAATAACTTTACGACCGCACCCTATACAGAACACAACACAACATACACAATAACTTTACCACCGCACCATATACAGAACACAATACAACATACACAACAATTTTAACACCGCATCATATACAGAACACAACATACACAATAACTTTAACACCGTACCCTATACAGAACACAATACAACATACACCACCGTCACTCACGGCACAAAAAAGTAGAACATTCACCACTTACATGTTGAAAACTGGCATGTTATATGGGCACATAATAATTAAAGAAGACGTAGACTCCCAGAAAACCCTTCTATTCTACGATACATCATAGTTCATCAACAAATTATAATTCAATTTTAATATTTAACTTCTGAGTTATACCTTTTAACATTTTAAGACTAATATTCAGATGTAACGAAGCACAAGAATCGAAATGAAATTTATGTTCATGATCACCAATAAGGACCAACTTTAGCAATACAGTTGAATACGAGTAGTACATTCATTTCGTGAATATTTTCCTGATAATGACCCAGCTATATCGAAGCATGTAGCAAATTAACGTAATGAACAATTTTTTTTCCCCTTGGCACTACAGCCCCAGTGGGCCTAGGCCTACCTCCATGAACTCCGTTCACTTCGGTTTTTCTAGATCTTACACATACGGTAGGACTCGTTGGGCGAGTGATCAGCTCGTCGCAAGGCCTCTACCTGTAGACAAACATAGAAAAACTCACACACCAAACTAAACATCCATGCCCTGAGTGGGATTCCAACCCACGATCCCGGCTTCCAAGCGAGCGAAGACAGTACATGCCTTAGACCGCTCGGCTACCGTAACAGGCTAATGAACAAATATTAGTAAAGTAATATTGGTTCATTTATTACGAGTCTGTTGTGTTGACTCTTGTCTAATAATATTGTATTTGACGAATGCGCAGTGAACAGATTCCAGATAACTTCGTATAATTTACTGGTAGTTGATGATTTTTTTCCTTCCGTAAGAATGTGCTGCTTCTATTTTCAGAGTGTTCTCCTATCCAATACTGCGTCATATCCACGGCCTTGGGAATATCACATTTCGCCTCGAAGGAGTTCTTTATTGTTTTTGCCTCCTTTCGTTTCGGAAACGAAAAATGTGAAGACAGGAATGTGATATAACTCACTTTTTCTTGAAATATAAAGTTCTCACTTAAACGAAGATTCATATTACGGGTTTGTTGTTTAGAGCGTCTAGTCTGGTACGTGTTTACCAACGTTTCGGGAGAAAATAATGTCTCCACCTTCATGGTGTCATGTTCCCCTACCTTGAAAATGAACATGTTGCTGCAGCGGTAAATCTGTATACTTGTATCTGGGAAGTGTCTGTTTCGAATTTCGACCCGAACACCGGTTATCTTGAGATTTTTCGTGGTACTATTCAGTTCCTTGAGGCAAAAGCTTGGATAGTGTTTAGATTAAACCACTATCTATATCTCTTAAATCCCTGCCAATTCATTTTCACGAATCATCCTAACAATTTACTTATATAATGTAACATACTGACGGCATTATAAAGTAAATCACATAAACTTTACAAAATCTAACTTGAAGATTAAGACATTATGTCGTTAACAACCTACCAGATTAAACGGTATCATAACACAGGCAAGCAGAATATTTACCTGAATTCTGTTTCGACTGGGCAACAAAAACAGGCGGCGGAATAAACTCAAAATATCTTTAAAACTCATATCCTGTGGCCTGAAAATTTCTATATTACAATTTAATTTCAGTCTAAATTGAATTTTCTCTCTTTCTATTCCATTTCAACTTGAAAATGAGTAATATATCGGTAGCCGTGGGAGGAAAGAGTAGCTGAATTACTTGAAGGAGAGATCTGATTGAGAAGTGTTTGACTTCAAGCTGCAATCATTCAAAAAGAGAGAGAGAGAGATAGACGTGAGCAACAGGAAGTGACGTCACGATCCGAAGAATGGAGCTGCAAATGCGCCATTAGCCGTTGCTATTCATTGTCAATGGAAGTTACTGAAAGGACTTTCAGCTATAGGAAAGCACAGATGACGAGCTCCTAGCCTACTTTTTATTCATCCGTGAAACTGCTTCATAACATTTGAATCGAGATAGCATACAGCCGAGTTGCGATTTGAGATATATTATTTTTCGTCTTGGAGTTCAGTAAGACATGTTTTTAGACAAATGGAATTTGATTAAATTCAAAACTACCAAAATAATTTATTATTCATTCATTATTTCTGTCTTTTTTAGCCTTCGTTTTCTTCTTTTTTCTTAGCCTATCTTTATTTCTTCTTTCCATTTTTTATGCTTGGAAAGCAACTAAATTGTGATTATCAGCTTGTCTGTCTGTCTGTCTCATTGCATATAACAGCTACATAACTACTGAATTAATTTCTATGAAATATGTTTAATTGCCTCAAAAGAGTTAAGGCTTAAGGAAAATAAACACTTAATACAAAATGTACGTCTTTCTGTCTTCTGTAATGTTCGTTCGGTACATTTCTCGTTTTGATATATATGTAACGAGGTACACATGGTTAAGTTATGGAGATCTGTGCAGATGTGCACGTATGTGTTCATATAACCGTTACTAGAATGTAACCAAAATCAGAGTTGAAAAGGTTTAGTAAGATTTCCAAATATCAAATCTTTATTAAAATCCATTCCACATTTCTCGAGTTCCTTCATAGGACAGAGCAGCCTATGCTCGTTTCTATAACTATTTGTAACGTAGGAAGCCAAAAAAGAAGTGTCAGATGTTACTGTACCTCTACAAGACAAATTACAGAGCCAGAGTCAGAGTTACTTTACGACTGGAGGCTTAACCCAAATCACTTCGTCTTGGCGCCAAACACTTTTGGGGTTCACGACCAACAATTCTTTCAACTGAACCTTAAGCAATATCCTTTCTGACGAGAGGATGGATCTGTCGTTTACAATTGCTACTGGTCCTCGCCAGCGAAGTCATTCTCGGTTCCCAGTCCCGCGAGACTCATGACCGTACTTTACTGTCTCAGGTTTGAGACTCAACTCTCCCGTATTTATATCCCCCAGTAAAAGCTACTGTGGAGGTATTTGAAACCGCCTCCACACGGGCTAGACACATTACAGGTCAGATGCCTTCCAGTTTCTTAGTCCTGGTCGTTCCCAACAGCATGCTCAGTGGACTGGTCCATTCTATTAACTGGGATAAGCTGTGTAGGGTATGCTGTATTAATTATGATACAATATGTTACAAAAGCATGCATTGACAGATGTCTCCGTATAGCGAGGAATGTGCGTAGTGTATTTACTGCATATATGCCGTGTAACTTTTAGCCAATAACGGCGAAGAACGGCTGACCAAATTAGAAAGATCAATCCCTCTTCTTCCAGAAGTCGAAGCCCAACGCCAAAGATAGTAGGGCTTACAGAAGTGAACACAAATATGATGTATGGGTCCCGATGTGGCCGGACACCACGACTAATTATGCTGGCGAAGGCCCGCAGTAAGCTTCTGCGACTGCGGCTGGGTGTGTATTGGTTACAGCAGGGCTTTAGTTACAGTACACCACCACAATAATGTAATTACAACCACTACCCCGCCATTTCTTGCCATATTCTCACTTTTCTTAATGTGCGACACAGGGTCCAGGCATAAAATTGTTTATATCTCACGACATACCACTGTGAGGAGGTGACAAATTTACGAATCACACTGTAAGAGAACCATCGAGGGCTGATACTCTGGCTGGCTTCATCCCCTAACAGCAGCACGTTGTAAAGGGGTGGGAGAGGCGTCATGCCGTGAGAGCATTTGTAATTCTGATTCCATTCAGTCATCCCTCCATTTTCCTTTTACAAACGGACTTCACTTCCGCTTTTATAAAAAGAGGCATAGAACAATAATAGCGATTTCTTTATTACTGTAACTGTTCCAAAGGCTAGGGAGCCCGGGTACCTAAGTTGATGTAGTGGCCGGACGGCCGGGGTTCTATTTCCGGCAGAAGCAAAATTCTTCTCTCCTTCACAGCGTCCACAAGGAATCTGGGGACCGGCCAGCCTCCTATTCAACGAGTACCGGAGGCGATTTCCGTGGGGGTAAATTAGCCGGGGCGTGAAACTGATTACTAGACTCAAACTAGTGCCGAGGTCAAGAATTATGTAGCTATACCTCCATTTCTCCATATGTTTTCATGATATAGTGCTTACTTTCCGGCCTAGAAAACCGAGATTAACGACCGTGGGAATTCGTTGCGCTGACCACACAACACCCTCTGTCCGAGAAAGTTGGCACTAACTTCGCCGATAAGCGACGGACGCTCGGTCGGTATAGTTCGCTTGTGGAATAAAGGCAACGGAGCAAATAAGTGCTTAATTAATTAAGCACAGGGACGAATTTAATTTTCACTCTTCGGGTGAAAGTAGTGCATCAGAATGTTCCGTCGTTTCGTTAACGGCGGCATTACTCAGGATATGAAACGTCTAAGACTGTTTCTGCTGATCGCACTGGAGTGTTAAGAATATAAGAATATTTCTAAACTTATTTTAATTTTGTATAATAATAATAACTGATATATAATTCTCTTTCCTTTAATTTCTGTTATTTTTCTTATCCAGGAGAGGTATATAGTTGGCTTGTTCCTTCGGTCAAGGCCTATGTTTTTCGATCACTTTCAAAGAACTCAGTAAAAATAGGCAATTATGTTTCAACACGAAGTTTCCTGATTCGAGCATTACTGGTGATCACTGTTTCCGTTGGGGCAGAAGATGATATCGATCAAGAATTCCAAAAATATCTTAAAACCATCGTAAAGAAAGGTACAGTGATTTATAAATACGAAAAATTAAACCTATTTCATCTTTTTGGACTGTTTCCATCATCCGGTATTCTACTGTACAGAAAACACGACGTTTTGGAAACTGGATCTGTTTCCGTCCTCAGGTAAAGAGGTGAGAAGACACCTAGTTAGTTGGGCCCCTTAAAAAGAGATAACTCAGTCACTCTTTCTAAGGGGCCCAACTGAGTATGTGTCTTCTCACACGGAAAGAGATCCAGTTTCCGAAACGTCGTGTTTCGTATTCTCTAGAATAGCTGGATGATACAAAAAGTCCCAAAACTCAGTAATTCTATATCATGTTGTCCGATCCCCAGTGAGACAACTTATTCTCATGGTATATCCAAAGATATTTTCAATATCACAGATCAACCGCGTTCAATGACGAAATGATTGGTACAGTATGCACTGAAATGGCTGTAAATGGAAGTAGCTGTGGCATAATGCAATGTAATAATGTATTAGAGGACTTGAGTAAAACAACGAAAATCTGCTGTAAGAATAGCAGGTCTCCTGGTCGAGATTTCAACCCGGAGCCTCTTAAAATATTTTCACATGACGCCTGAAAGCCGGAGTAGGCCAAGACTTAAATTTAAGATGAGGAGTTGCTTACCTTATTGCCGTGTTGCAGCTTTGCCATTCCCATGTTGCACCTCATGCCGAAAGAGATAATGAAACCTGCGTAGAAGACATTTCTTTCGTTAGTGACGTAGGATTACAGTACTTCACACACTTTCTTTCGTTTACGAATATTGTGCACTCATTCTAAGAAATTCCGCTGTATCATAATGGACACATAGAGACCGTCCGCACAAGGAATTCTGTCTATTGTGTAGTGTTGCAGTATACTGCTCAAAATTAACAGAAACATATTAAATTTCTGTTTAAAAGCGTGTTTCTCAACATTTTACGAAGAAAGCGATTTATTTCAGTACATATATCCCACTGAGCCGGCGTAGTCGGTATAGCGACTGGCTAAGGGCTGGACAACTGAGGAGTCGTAGTTCGAGCCCCGGTAGGTTCAAGAATTTTCTCTCCTCCAAATTGTCCATGCCGGCTCTGGGGTCCACCCAATCGCCTATCCAATGTGTACCTGGGGCTCTTTCCCCAGGGATAAAGCGCCGGGGCGTGAAACTGACCACTCACCTCCAGCTAATGCCGAGGTCAAGAAAATATGGATCTATATATCCACCCCCCCCCACACGTCTTCATGGCGTAATGCTTAATTAGTTAAACACAGGGACAAATTTACCTTCAATTTTACATACATACCATCTTCAGGAATACAAGATTTGAATAGGTTCCTAAAACTTTATATTATTAGGGGACATATATTTAATATGCAGAGATTTGGCCTGTCAGGTGAATTCTGAGCACTGTCATTTTAATTACATAGAATATTATTTGAATATAAATTTATAAAATTGTCATGAAATTATATTTTATCGATTCCATAGGCACGACAATGCTCAAGCGAAAGTCTCTTCCCTTTTACCTAAATATGGGCTGTTACGTACGGATTTTTCCCGGAAACACTGCACGTAATTTCTGCAAGAACATCCAAAATGTTACACTCAAAATTACTGAGTCTTTAAACTTCGTCCATCGTGATTAAGTTTAAGTCTTTCTAAGGGACTCAACAGAGCAGGTGTCTGCCCCTTCACCTGAGAACGGAAGCAGACCCAGTTTCCGAAACTTTGTGTTCTCTGGTTTCTAGAATACCGGACTGTTGGACAAAGCCCCAAAACCTTGTGATTTCGAGTGTTTTATACGCTTTGAAATTATTCAGTATAAGATTTACAGAAAAATGACCAATATATCTGTAATTCATGCCTCTATCTTTCGGTTTATGGCACCATGTGGAAGGGCACTAAACATTTCGGAAGTCTTCACTGTCCTCATTTAAACAGTAGTTGAAGTTTGAGTGAGAATATTCGTCCGAAATATTTCCTATCAAAAATATGTTTTCGTCTGAGCTGGATGGCAGAGCAATAACGCCCTAAACTTATATTCAGGATGTGTCCGGATCGAATCTCGGCCGAGATATTCATCCTTTATGACTGGAAGTTTTTTCATGAGTTCCTTCGTTCGCTCTAGGCAAAAGCAGGGATGACACACAGAAATGGCCATATCGCTTCCATCCAAAACCGTTGCAATTCATTAATCATCTGTTTCCATTCTATGTTATAAAATCTAGGTACTGACATGGCACAAACAAGATTACAACAAAATGGATGTTATGAATCTCTTTACTCTGTTGCTCCGTGGATGCAAGGTAGACGTAAAGGAAAAATTGTCCCTGTGTTTAATTAATTAAGAATCATGTCACGAAGACGTATGCGGTAGTGAAAGTATAACTCCACCATTCTTGACTTTGGCACTACATGGAGTTGAGTGGTCAGCTTCATGCCCCGGCCGCTTTACCCCCAAGGAAACAGACCCCGGTATCTTTCGGAGAGGAGATTGGGTGTTACTTAGAAGGAATTTACCAGAAGAGGCTCAAGAAAAAGGCACCAAAATCCTCTGTTATCCCAGTCGAGATTCAAACCAAACACTTCTCAAGTATATTTCTAGAGCGTTTTGGCTTTACGAGAGATTTCAGTCCAACTTTTATAGCTTCGTGACACGAGATAAGCGTTTGGTATCACGTCTGTGCGCCCTCTTTCAGTGTGTCCCTCCATAATAACTTTGACGTGCGTCCATGAACTTTTTATTGCGTGAACAGTACAACACCAGTGGCCCCTCCACTTTGCACCTTTTAATTTCCAGATATTAACAATTTCAATATGGCAGTTGTGCGTACTTGCAGGTGGTAACAGTATGCGATAAAAGACACTGAAATTTTGGATGATAATATAGATACCGGAATCTAACCTAGTCGTGCTTAAACCACGGTCATATTCCTATGTCAATCCTGCATACTTCCTGCCAGAACCACAACCATATTTCTATGCTACTCCTGCATCCCTTCGTACCAGGACCAAAAACCATATTTCTATGCTGCTACTACTACCTTACCTAGTACCTAAACCACAACCATATTTCTATGCTACTCCTGCATCCCTTCGTACCTGAACCACAGTCATATTTCTATGTTACTACTACATTCCCTAGTACCTAAACCACAACCATATTTCTATGCGACTCCTGCATCCCCTCTTACCCAAAACAGAACCACATTTCTGTGAAATTGCTGCATTACATCTTACCTGAACCACAACCATATTTCTATGCTACTCCTATGTTCCTTCGTACCTGACCCACAGTAATATTTCTATGTTACTTCTGCATTACTTCGTACCTGGACCAAAACTATATTTCTATGCTACTACTACATTCCCTATTACCTGAACCACAACCATATGTGTATAATAATACTCCTATATTCCTTCGTACCTGAACCACAATCATATTTCTATGCTATTCTTGTATCCCTTCGTACCTGGACTAAAACCTTATTTCTATGCTGCTACTACATCCCCTAGTACCTAAACCACAACCATATGTCTATACTACTCCTATATTCCTTCGTACCTGAGCCACAACCACATTTCTATGCTACTACTACATTCCTTATTACCTAAGCCACAACTGCATTTCTATGCTACTCCTATATTCCATCGTATCTGAACCACAACCACATTTCTATGCTAGTGCCGTACCTACACACGTGAGAACTGCCACGGTGTAACGCTTACTCAGGCACGGACATTCCGGCCGGACGTACTTGTCGATGTGTCTTAATGGCGGTCTCTCCGGCTCCGGCAGGGACTCCGGCGTGCCCAGTTCCCCCTCGCCCCCGACGAAGCCCTTCTCATCTTCAGATTTGCTGTAACTGCGGGCATAACACACAAAACATAGACTGTCCCAGCGCGTGCGCAGTCATCCCGAAATGCCATCATAAAGAAGGAAAGACTGTGCAATGTATACACATAAACAAGGCGGAAAGAATAAAAAATAATGAAATAAATAAAAAACATGGGAAGAACAAAACAAACATACGAAGAATGGAATATAACGAAGAAAACAAATAAAGTTAGAAGTGTATTAACGAAGCAGAGATAGAAAGAACAAGGGGAAAACGGCAAAGCGACCTGACACAGAGAGGAAGAAACGAAGGCGAATGAACAAAGAGAGAACAACAAAATAAATAAAGAAAGAAGGAGACAGTACACTGAAAAGGGGTGAAAGAAAGTAATAAACAAATGACAAAGAAAGCAGAAGGACCGACACATACGCAACAAATAAAACATGGAAAAAGAAAAGGAATGAGAAGACAAATGAAAGAAAACACATAAAATATACAAAGAAATGGAATTGAGTAGCTTTGTACCTTTCAGCTTTTAAATGGTCAGCATCTCCAGTAGTTCATCGTGCAATCATTGATTCATACTTGCGTCTTTTTTTTTTTTTGCTTGTTGGTTAGAATTGCAATCCTTTATCAGTTCTAAATGGTAATTAAAATGTCCGACACTAAACACCGTCTAAACCAACCCTGAATGTACGTCACACCCTCAGCCCAGAAGAAGATTTACGGAATAAAATTCCTTTGTATTCAACAAGATCTTCTATATGTGGGCTTCAATTTCCATCGTATGTCATTCCATTCTAAATATGACGTAACATCTACGTCATTATCTGATGATGACGTGGCCTCAAAGAAAATTTTGACTGACTTTAAGGAGCCAGTTCTGTTTTATTAAAATCGGAATGCAAATGGTGTGAACACTTACCCGAGCTTCGAGGGCATTTCGAATTCCTCATAGCGGATATTACTGAAAAATACAGAAAACAAACTATTAGTAACGACATTAAAAAATAATTAAAATCATTTCAAACGTTTCAGTGTTGTTTTGTTTGGAGTCATCACAGCTGTGACAATTAACAGCACTTTCCTACGGGATGTGAAACCGTGAAGTCTGTTAGAAGTTCGGTGGCTTATTGAAGAAAAATACTGCCTACATCATCAGGGCTGAAAAGTAAGCCAGACAAACTGCGGGAAATAAATAGCTGCTGCTTGTTTTTGGGTACTTCCTTGCCTGCCTTGCTCGTCTATCCTGAAGATGGAAGTAGTGGAGTTCCTCGAAAATATCGGTAAAATTCTACCGGACTACACGACGTTAGATCCCACAAAATTAGTTCTTTATAAATAAATTCATACATGTACGAATAGAGTATATTTTATTATTATTCTCCTACGTATGTCTAGATCTTCCTGGTAGACTGTTTCCTTCGGGTTATCTTTACACAACTTTGTATGCATTTATCTTCTCTCTATGCAAGTTACATACCCTGCAAATTACATTGGTTTTCATCCTGTCATTCCAATGATATTTGGCGAGGAATACAATTTATGAAACCCAACGTTATGTAAACGTTTTCCGGAATTTTTCTATTTTACTCCTCTTTGGTCCGAATATCCTCCTCTTCTGATAGCACATCCTCAATCTATATTTTTCGCTTAATTTTAGAGAGAAATTTTCATACGAAAAGAGAGGCAGAACTACAATTTTATGTAATTTTCTCACGTTACTAAACAACAGAAGAATAGAGAAAAGTTTCAGGAATGAATAGCAGTAAGCATTCCTCGAATATCTTCCCTACCAAAATTTTTTTATTTCTTACATATAACAATTTACTTTCGAATATTTTAAGGTTATTAAAAATTATTAAGATTATTGATACATTTTCACGTAGATATGTGAGGTAAAATATACTATATAACGAAGACGGTTTACGATTTACTGTTTCTGCATTGTATTCATGGGGGATAGCTTAAGACATCGGTCTCGATGTCTCATTCGATAACACTCATGACTGAAAATGAATACAGGAGAAAGCAGAGGAAGTTATATGTATACAATCCTTGTTGAATTCCCAATTAGTGTTGCATGAGTTCCAGTTTACAACAATTTAAACTACTCTTTAAGCTCCTATGGCGCTACATTCATTACAGGCTCTTCACGAACTGAGTCATAAATTCATCTGCGAAGACCCAACCAGTATCTTCTCACTACTGGAGCACTTCGATTGCAATGGAAATTTTATTTGTAAGAGAACTATAATTGCCACACTCTTGGGGGAAGGGGGAAGAGGAGGGAGTGCGGGTTGCTTCCTTGTCACTGGTTCGTTATTAATGGCTCCCTTATACAGTATTTATGAGAATCTAGGCAGTAAAGGGGCCCTATATTTCTACATAAACCGAAATATATAGATCATAGAATTTAATATAAAGAGAGATTATTTCTTAGAAAATGTAGTTAGTTGTTTTATCGCTTGCAAATATTGATTGGCCATCATTTAATCAGACCCGAAAGACATGGAGTGACGGATTTTGTTTTGGGGGTCTCACAGCTGTGTATATAAACAATATTATCCGCTTGGATGTCACACCGTGTGGCTTGGTAGTGTCAATTCAAGAGCACTACGCTTCATAATTACGCGGTTAGAACTTTAGTTCATTAGTTGCGATAATTTTATTAACATAATTATGATTAACAATGAGCCGGTGTCTTCGGCTGTGCCGGTTTTGGTGCAAGAATCCTAAGGCGTCACATTCGGTACACTGAAAGCAAAGGGGGGTTAATATTTCTGCCAATTATGAGTTAAATTGTAAACTTACTTCCTCTAGCTCAATTACGAAATGAATAAATATTTCATGTAAATTTATTAATTGATTCTTGAGAGTATTATTAATTCCACAGCATTTACTCCTCCGCTCTGTACACAGAGCAGTGTTTATTACACATCAACCGTATACCGAGAACTTCTTTTAGTGACGTCATGCAAACAATATGCGTCATCAAATGAAGCTCCTTGCGGTACAGATAACAAGCTGTTCTCCCTACCTGCCTAATCTAAATATAGCGCTCTCTCAGCAGAGTAGATATAAAGGATGTATCTAAATGTGCCCACAAATTTTGGGCACCAGTTCCACGTGTCAAAGCAAGAAGATATGTCCAGAAACATTTATTTTTTGAGTTACAGCTGAAATACTTCTTCTCTAATATGTGCTGAAAATGTCTGTCTGGTGATTGGTGGGCCCATACGCTTACAGGCAAGCACTACCGAGATTTCCCCTCACAAGATCTGTCAGAGCTACTGGGAGGTGTACCAGTGACAGCCAGAGTACGAATGTGGTACATGCATGTTGCTGCTCCGTGCTGTGCGAGATGTTCTCAGTAACGGCTGTCATGGCCGATGGATAAGTAGAGGAGGATACACTGCATGGCCTCCACAGTCACCTGACTTGAATTCTCTGGATTTCTAACTGTGGGGGATCCTTAAAAACCCTTGTGTATATGAAGCTCCTCAACAACTGCCCCGGCATCTCTGAACAGATGCGGCGGTCCATGTCGAGACGTGTCTAGAGTGTCATGGCGGATATTTTGAGAATTTAATATGAATGTACGCTTTCACAACTCACAAATTAAAATTCTCCAGACATGTGTTGATATAGACATCTCTTTTTCCTGTTTTGGTACGTGTTACCCGTGTCCAAATTTGTCCGCACGTTTCAGTAACACCCTGTATATCGAACTCGAAATATTGTCTAACACTACAGTGTGTATAATCAGTGGTACTCCTGTTGTGTCCGGTCTAGAAGACCGAGATTAACGGCCGTGGGAATCCGTTGCGCTGACCATGCGACACCCTCTGTCCGCTAAAGTTGGCACTAACTTCGCCGACAAGCGGCGGTCTCTCAGTCGGTACAGTTCGCTTGCGGACTAAAGGCAACGGAGTTTGTTATTCCTGTTGCATATTTTGAAGGTACCCGCATGCAAGAATGAAATGTGTACACAAAATTGTGGTCAGAAGTCAAGAAAGAGGAGGCGACGTAACAGTGTTAGATATGTATGAGGTATTCACTTTCTGGTTTGATTAATTATTACGAAATGTTCTTGGCATAATTATGAAAACATTATTAAAAAACACTTATATAGGAATTCCGGTTTCCGGGCCGATATTTGAAACCAAGATCTCACGAATTGGAAGGCCTCTGAACGACTGTCATTTTCGGATTCATCATATTCGGCTATCCTACTCTTAAATTCATCCTTCGGAACTCTAAATTTTGTGAAAATTTTAATTTAAATCTTGTTAAATCCACCTTGAGAAGATATTACAACTATAGTGACTGTTGAAAGAACTATTTCCAGCTACTCGTATTTCACACCGTGCAGTCCGATAGAATTCTTCCAATATTTTGGATCAACTTTTTTTTTATTGCTAGTGGGGTGGGACTAAGTCCCTTGTCCTGTGGCAACTTCTGGCCTATTGTACAAGCCCCAGATGATAGGTGAGGGTGATTGTGGGGCAATTGGTGGAATGAAGATTGGCAGAGGAAACCGAAGTACTCGGAGAAAACCTGCCCCAGCGCTACTTTGTCCACCACAAATCCCACTTGACCAGAACCAGGATCGAACCCGGGCCGCCGCGATGGGAAGCCAGCGACTAACCGCTTGAGCTATGGCGCGGCCTTTGGATCAACTTACTGCCTTCAACTGTAGAGTTGATGAGCATTCTGTGTGTTGCTTCTTTCTTTGTTTCATTGGCCTATTATTCTACAGTGTAGATGGAGGGATTATGTTCTTCCGTAACGTCAGTGGACTTCTACCGAACTACACGGCATGACATCACAGAAGATAATATTGTTTATTGTTAAACCTTCTCTTCGTTGTGAGCTATTTGCTTGTATGATTAGGCAGTCTTGTTGACACGAGGCAGGGGACAAAAATACCGCCTGCAGCAACTACTTCCGCGCAATTTACTTCCGCAAGTCCTCGACGTCAGTACCGTCTGTTGTGGAGCTCCTTCCCGCATTCATTCATGAGTTTCTCGCTTGTTCACGTTATTCAGTTCACTCTGAGTCTAGCGCCGTGAAATGAAAACTCCTACTTGAGACATTCCGCGCAACAGTGACGTAAGGATAAAGACTCCACCACAGGTCTGTCTAACCCTTTAGAGTCCAGTGGTTACTATACGTACCACTTGATTTAACATACTAAACTCTACGTTCTCCCGACAGGGCTTGTGTGTACAGTATATTTAAAATTGTGGTAAAGTTCGTCTTTTAACGACTCCAACAGCTCAAAATCACGTTAACGCAGAATGTAAAGAACATAAAATTCTAGAAATCTTTGTTAGCTTCGTGCAGAATCTGTCGTTTTCTTGTTTAAAGGCATATAAATTGATACAGTGCATAAGGAAGTACAATTACCGTTGTCTGAAACTCTTTGAGTCTGCACAAATTTCGACTTAAAATTTCTCTATTTAAATCGACAAGAAATAATAAAAAATTAAGCATCACTTAGACTGTGCCGTAAGTAAGTTCTCGAAACAATGAAGATTAATTAATCAAGTAGGAAAATAAAATTGTCAACGAAAGAAATAAATCTACAATTTGAAGTACTACACGTGTGATGATATAGAATGACTTGACAACACCGTCCAGAGTGAATCAAATATATATACACGGATGCCTTTACATGTTACCGTCTTTTATGGCCATTTTCGGAAGGCAAAACATGTTGAGGAAACTGCTATCACATTGATCATAGTACATCAAGTTGAATCAAAGTTTTATATAAAGATTTTAATTAAGATAAATTGTGCCTCAACACAAGACGAAAGGAGAAACAGCTTAACAACACAGATTCTTAATCAACTATATATAATAATGGAGGAAAGAACCACTGTCCGGACGTCCCAGGGTGTCAAGCTACCCAATCTCCCGTCCATAGAAGAGGCACGAAGAGAAAAATGTTAAAATTTT